GGCTAAAGCATGGGGGGGACTGTTGCCAAATACTATGGCAAATCTTCCTCTCACCACCTTTGCACAGGGGAACACAGAAAGCTGCCTTATAGTGAGTCGGGTCCACTTAGTATTGTATACACTGACTGCCGCTGGTTCTATGGGGTTTCAGACTCAGAGGTCTCTCCCTACCTGGAGGCACTGGGAATCGAACCAGGGGTCTTCTGCATGCAAGGCAGCAAACTGTCTCACTGAGCTGCAGCCCTTTCAGCCATGAAAGGCTGCAAAGTACGACCCAGTTAGTGAAAACTGCGTTTGAATAGGTACGCAGGAATGAGCTGGCTGCGGATTAAAGGAGACAGTGACAAATGGGAGATTTTTATATTTAGAAAAAGGTACACGCCTCTCCCCAAATCAAGCAACTGATAAAGACAGTTCCAGAGTGTAACAGAAAGTAAAATTGTAATAAATTAGGGAACGGGGAAGGAGTAAACCAATTTCTCTCCAGTTTTGAATGGAACCATTTTGTATGGAATTTAAAACTCCCATGCCCAAACAAGAAAATATTAATTCAATTGGACTCTGAGAGTTAAAGTTCCAAGGGAAGGGGGCTCTTTCCTTTCCTTTCCTTTCTAGGCTGCATGTTAGGAAGCCTGTTCACATTTGGGCATAATCCCAAGTGTGATTTTCAAATCGAGCCATGTTGCACAATTGGATTTCTCTGCCACCTTCCAGGCACAAAACCCATTTAGTTTAGAAAGTTGCTTTTGGAAGGGGTACTTAAAAGAAAGAAACAGGTAAATAAAACGCATAACTGTTCATTCTGTTGATGAATCAGAAGCCTTTGGTGTTAATCTTTTGCTAAATTCGGCATCTTTACATCTCTCTCCCTATAAAACCCTGAGCTCCATAACAGGCAATGTAGGTGAAGAGCTTGTCAGATTTGGAAATTACTCTATTCATTTTCGGTTGTTGCTTTTTAATCCCTTGGCAATTTTTGGTTGGAAGAGATGGGGTAGATAAATAAAATCAAATGTCTTCTTGTCCACCTCTGACACCAGAGATCCCCCTCCCAAAAAAACTTTGCTGTGTGAAATATGTTAACAATAAGCCCTAATTAGAGAATCGCTCCTCTCCGTGGCCTGAATGAACCTCCTAAAATCTACTAGCTGCCTTGCTGTGATCATTTAGCCACGGCAAAAGAAAAAGAAAAAAGGAGAGGTGCAAAATTGCATTTTAGGCTACATTTAAAGCACTGCATCAAATAATCGTGGGAACTGTAGTTTACCCCCTCATAGAGTTACAGTTCCCCATACCCTTAAGAAACTACCCTCCCCAGGATTCTTTGGGGGGATGCTTTAAATGTACTGAATCTACAAAAATGTGTATGAATACTGAACATCTGTAATAGTACAGGGTGATGTACTGAATGAAGAAATGAATCGCCTGTGTTCCCGCACAAGGTCATGGTGGTAGTTGCAATGCACATTAAGGCTGTGAACCTGTGCATGCCTGTCTACTCAGAAGTAAGTCCCACTGAGTTTCATGGCACTTAGTCCAGGGAAATAGGTTGCAGTCTAAGGAATTCCAATGAACTCAGGAGAGATTTACTTTTGGGTGAGCTCACTGAGGCTGCAATTCCATGCTCTCTTTCACAGAAGTCTTATGAACAAGGGAGAACTTTATTCCCAGGGGTCAAAGTACTGGATCCAGGTATCGGGCAGAGAGAAAAGCTGAGGTGTGTGTGAATGAGTGGGAAGGAGAAACGAGTGGAATTGTTAAAGGTTTTGAAAGTTTCCCTTGGAACATTCTTTCCTTTGGGGAAAGTGGAAATCAGGGATTGGGAATCTGGGGGCCTCCAGACCTTGGTGGAGCACATTTCCAGTTATGCATGACCATAGGGCAGTGGTGTCCAAACCTTTTTCAAAGAGGGCCAGATTTGATGAAGTGAAGGGCGGTGAGGGCCGACCAAAGGACCGACCAAAGTTGCTGACCCTTTTTTAGGGTTGGAGTTGTTGAGGAATGGGGATCCTAAACCCCAGACCATGAACTGGCAGACTGCAAAGTGGAGGGAGGAGGCTCCAGCCAGGCAATATGGCAGCGCTTCCTGCAAAACTGGATGGTGTTTTTTTTGGGGGGGGGTAGACTGCAATTGGCTTCTATCGTTGCTGTTGAGATCGGTGGTTACATTGTAATGAGGTTTTCGCGAGGCTAGGCCTGGCCTTGAGGAACGTTCACTGGGAAGTAAATCTCTGGGTCCTGATTCAGAAGTGCTTTGATCTAAACGCGGGGTGTAGGCATGGGCTGCAGCAAGGAATTGAAAACGATTTCAGGTCTAAAGTTGTGTGCTGAATGTTATAGAAGGGATCAGATATACAGTAAGCCATTCACCTCCCCAGGGCACGTTTTGGCACCTGAGGCGAACTACAAAATGGTGCCACTCCTCTCCAGGGCAAGGAAAGATCTGCAGCAGGAACAAGGGGTATGAAAATTTAAACTGGGAACAAGGGGTGAGTACAGATCAAATAAACCTTATCCACAGAGATCGTTTCGAGGGAAAGGGGGCTCGCTTTGAATCACATCAGATGGGTGCAGGCAGCGTAGGAGACCCCAGAGGGTAGCCCCCGCCATTTCCTCACTAGGGGTGGGAGGTGAAAGGCAGCACCTCCTATTCTCCGAGAGGCTGCGTGGAGCGAGCGGTGCAGCCGTCGCTGCCACTGCGAACCGTGTTTATGGAAGACAATCTTACTCAGCTACGAGTGATCGCCAAAGAAGAAGGTGATATTCCTTGGGTGCCAGATCTGCTTGCCTCTGTGGATCCTGCCACCTGAGGCGGTCACCTCTCCTTGCCTCATGGGCAGGCCCTGTACCTCCCCCCCCCGTCTTTTCCTTTAGCCTCTTACCTCTAAATCTATGACGACTTTTACAGAGTTCCTGGATTTGTTTTATTTATTTTTAAGGATGTAGGGGAAACAGGAATAAGGGTTTGCAATCTACACGCCGGTAGAGTAAGCGAGGTAATTTATCCAGCATTCATATGCGGCCGTGAGACGCGTCTTGGTTGTGAGCTAGGTGCTGCGCAGAAATGCCCCACCACCACGCGCTTAAATTTCGAGGAAGAAGTGAAATGGCTTCCATTAAGATTCGGGGACTTAGGAATTTCCCTTCTTCTCCTGCTCTTGCAGAATAAAACCAGAGAATAGGGCCAAGTCGAAAACCCCTCACCGCACTGACCTGTCTTCCATAGTTTTATTTCCTACAGGAGCCTTGACTTCAAACGCGCCCAGGATCGGATCGCAATTGTCTTTCTTTACGTTCCGCTGTCTTTTTCTAGAAGGAAACCCCAGGGGATGTCAACCTCAGCAACCCAAGGGGCACCCCCAGCTGTTTATCTGGAAACAACCTCCTATTGATCTCAGAGAGTGGCTTCTCCGAGTAAACAGGAGCCGAAGCTCTGCTTGACCCTTTCCGCAACACACTGCCTCTAAGCGTAGGTGTCTCCGAATGAAACGGGGGGCTTCCTTGCGAGTAACACTTCTGACATCTTCCTTGAACGCGCGCGCGCGCGGTTTTCGATGGTGCTTACTCCATTCCAAGGCAAGGTTGAAAAAGTGAGTGCTGGCACTAAAATCAATGAGGGCGATAATAAATAAGAATTATCATCGCCACCTTCATACTAACTTTCAAGTAAAGGCTTGAGCATTGGGGCTTCTGTTCTCCGACAGTCCTTTAACCCTAGTAGTAGTAGTAGTAGTAGTAGTAGTAGTAGCAGCAGCAGCAGCTTGGGATCCTAATACACGCAAACAGCTTTGCACTTAAATTTCGCACCAACTCTTAAGGGTTCTGCACCGTCTTCTTTTCCCGTCTGCGCATCCTCTCCTTTGAAGCCCAAGTCCGGATCAAGAAGATGAATTTTAGAGATTTTTTTGAGTGCCCGTTTCTAGGTGCGGCGGATGTCCCCCTCCCCTCACTGCCATCCCACGCTCAATACACACCTCCTCCCTGCACCTCTGATCTTTTGGTAGTCACTGGAAGACTTTTTTTTTTAAAAAAGGGTGAAAATTGCTACGGTGACTAATAGGTATTTCTAAGAGCAAAGGTTTCTCCGGAGAGTGGGTTAGGACTCCCCACAGTCTGTGGAAGTGGGCTGCGAGGCAGGAGGTGGCATATTCCTCCTCATAGCCGTTCCAGCGGTTTCTCCAGCCGCTCTTCGTTCTCTGCACAATCTCCTCGGTGTCTGGCAAACTCACCATCACGGATCTTCTAATTCTGGACTTTTTCTTCGTAATTTCACGAGATAATTGGGTCTAAATCCGGAATTGTTTGCATTGGGAGGAGCGGCGGGAGGCGGGGAGATAGGTTTTATTCCAGGGAAAACATCAGTTTTAATTAAAGCGAGCCGGGTTTGCTGTCGGATTTCGAGCGGAATCGCCTCCTGAAATCTAAAGAGCTCTTGATTCCTATTATTATTTTAGCTTGATCTCAAAATTAAATAATCACAGCATTCCGCACATACACACACACACACACACACACAAACACACACACACGTACGCTTCTGACTACAAAGAAACAGGCCTGTGGCAGAAGATAGGACGAATATATATATATATTCAATCAAATAAACTTTTTAAAAAATAAGGAAGAAAATGACCTAAAAAGAAAACTTTCCAAAATGAGATAAACATCCATGGACAGTTTCCTTCAGTGATACAATTTAGGCAAAACCGGAAGGGGAAAAAATATATACCCAAAGGAAGGCGCAGAAAGCCCTTTAATTTAAATAACTATCAAATAACTTTCAATGCATTTTCATTCCTCTTTTTTATTCCATCATTTTTTTCCCTGAGAAGTTTGCCCCCTGATCCTAATCCAAGAAATATTGTGCATTTTAAGAAACCTCAGCGGGAAAATAATTTCCCATATCTTCAGAGAGTTAATTGAAACAATCATTATTATTATTTTTTTTAAAAAAGTTCACCAGAAGTGGAGTGTGCTTGTGTGTATTTAAACCAACCAACTGGCTGCATCTCATGGTAGCCTGATTTGTGAGAAAATATTTCAGAATAGGGTAAGGAGAAAATAATGCTCTCACAGACACCAGAAAGTGGCAAATGATATTGAATTAACATTTACAACTATTCTGGTCCTTTTGCTGAGGTGCAAGTTATTGTTGCTGAGGCCAGTACATGAAACGGTTACCCCTATGTTGTCGGGATTGATGCAACACCACACGTACAAACACACACACACACACACACACACACACTTTAACGTGCGGGTCAATACAAGGCGGAGGAATTAAAGATATTTGTAATTTCTGTATCCCGCCTCACACCTACAATCCATTCATTAATCTCAATTTCTCCTTTTCTTTCCCTTATTGGAATGGAAACCGCCAGGACCGCGGAAATGTTAAGAACAAAATATTCCTGGCTGGGCTCTATCCTTGATTACTGGCAGTGCGTAATTGTCTGGCCGGGTCCCCAATACAATGGAACCATCATCTGTTTCCGCTCTTGTGCGCCAGGGCGCAAAAGTAGACACAAAGGAAAGACCCAACTGGGGGCGCCCCAAAGCGGGTTTCAGAGCGTGCTTATCCCCTAAAAGAAATCCCACCAGTTCGACCCTCTCCATAAAATCACACTTGCCTGTATCTCCTATCCCCACTATAGGCGGCCAGAGCAGAACCCGCCTTTTCCACCAGAGCGCTGCTGTGCGCCTAGGTTTGACAACCACTTGGAAACAGGCCAGCAAGCGGTCCCAGAATTGAAGGGGAGATGAGGGGCATTTCTAGACATGACCCCCTGGCAGCGGCTGAAGCCCCCCTCCACGCCCATCTCTTCTTCATCAGCAGCATTCAAGTTCATAGAGGGGGTGCGTAAAGGCGCTTAATTTTCTGGGCGCGCTGGACAGAGGCTAGCCGGACACACACTCTCTCTCTGCGTGTGTGTGTTTGTTTTGAGAGAGAGATCGTGGAAGAAAACATAACTGTGCGTGAGATTCTAAAGGGTTATCTCCCCTCCCTCCCCAAACACAACCGGGTGAATCATATCTGCGTCCACATCATACATTTAAAGCGCGTTTAAATTCACACAAACCCCCACGCTGAATGCTGGGAACCGCACCTTTTACAGACCTACACTTCCCAGAACCCTTAAATAACTCAGCTCTCAGGGCTCTTTGGGCCAAAGGTGAAAATGTGATTCAAATGTACTTTAAATATATGGCGCTGTACAGAACGCAAGCTTCCTTTTGGGTTACCGGGAACGATCAGACTCCGCTATTTGGGATCTGAGAAATAGAAGCATGTATTACTTCCTCTGTCTGTCTGTCTGTCTGTCTGTCTGTCTGTCTGTCTGTCTGTCTGTCTCTCTCTCTCTCTCTCTCTCTGTGTGTGTGTGTGTGTGTGTGTGTGTTGTCCACCAGCTCCTTATCTTTCTCCCGGGGCCTCTCGCCAGGTGCAAACGCGGCCGTCCCTTTCTTTTATGCCCCACACAACAAAACAGAAAAGCCTGGTGGGTGTCAGGAACAAGGGCTTCTATGGGAGGGAGGCGGAGGGGGGGGGAGAGATAGGAGACGGGGCGGATGTAACCGCATCCAGCCCCCTGCGCCCGCTTGCCAACGCCGGTGCCATGCTATAGCAAGATCAGCCCTGGTGGCACAGCCGGCGGCCAGCGTGCACGCTTGACACCTCTCCCTGTGATCTGCCTCTCCAGCTACTACCCCTACCCTTCCCACACTCCCGGACCCAATCCAGCCACAGCATTCCTTCCCCACCCACCCCACCTCGTATCCTCGGATAGCACGCAGGTGGCAGCGTCCCGGAAGAAGGGGACCCTGGAACTAAAAACCTCAAACGAGCCCCGGAAGGTCCCAAGAAGACGCCGAGGTACCTACCTCCCAGCCGGGCGTGAAGGGGGGCCGCCGGCTTCTGCAGGCTTCCACCGTTGGGGCTGGGTGGGAGGCATTTGGGGCGCAGGGTCATTCTGCCTAAGATGGGTGGCGTGCCAGCAACTTTGCTTTCCTCCCCATTCAATCAGCCCCGTTCAGCAAGTTCCTAGATCTCATGAATTCCTTCCACCGGCCGATTGGCAAATCCGCCCCCCAATGTCCAGCCCTTCCTCAGTTTCTTTTTTCAACTTTTCTGTAAGTAGGTCCCCTCACCTGATGGTCTTTATTTCCTTTCCTTTATTTCATCATCCCGTCCACTCACTGACACTAAGTGTTCCAGGGTGCCAGCAGCCCCCTCCCTTCCCTACCGACCCCTCCATCCTCTCTATCCTCTCACTACAAACTGGTTACCTGGGCAAACTCCGCTTCTAATCTACACCTGGCTGGAATCCTTTCCCATCATGATCCGGGGTGGAATGGGAGCGGAAAAAAAGAAAGAGGGGGGCTTGCTTTTCTTTCCCTCCCATCTTACTTTCTTCTCTCTCCCCCCTTTATTTATTTTAATCGTCTCTCTCCCCCCGTTTTCCCCCCCGCGAGTAAGCGACGGCACTATTTGACGTCGAGGAAAACCGCCTCACCGCGGCGCAGGGATATTAGGAGCACCAATTGGGAGTTCAAATGTCAGCAAGTCCCCCCCCCCCGCTTTTTGGAAAAGGGAGGGGGAGGAGGAGGTGGCGGTGGTGAGGCGGCTGGCGGGGTGGGTGTGTTCCTCCGCCGCCGTTTTTTTCCTCCGCTTCTAAACGGAGCGTCTCCTGGCTCGGGACTCTTGCATGGCACTGTGGCGTGGAAGCGCTCCGGGGGAGAGCTTCTGCCCGCGATTGCATGCCGTGCCGGGGATCCCCTTGCTCCGGGGAGGGCCTCGCCGCCCCCTCCGGCCCGAGAAGGGCTCAGGAGGCGCCCCCTAGCCTACAGGTGACCCACCCTGCCTCTCTGGTGTCGGGGCGCGATGCTCTGACTGCCGATGGGCGCCCGGCTTGTCTCGGCAGCGCTCGCCTCCTCTGCCCCGCGACGCAGCGGTCCTGATCCCGGCAGGAGCGGACACTAACCGCCTCCTCCCCCTTCTCCGCTTCGCCTCCGCAGCCAGCCTTCGCCCCATGGACGTAGCGACGGGCCCCGAGTCGCTGGAAAGCTGTTTCAACCGGGGCTCCACTGACTGCTCCAAGATGCTGGACGGAATTAAAATGGAGGATCACCCGCTGCGATCGGGTCCCGCAACTTTAGGAGTCTTGCTAGGTGAGTCGACTTCGCTTCCACCGCGCAATGTTCAACTGCCCTCCGCTAAAAAAGAGGAAAAGCCTAGAATACTAGTTTACTCGGGGAAAGTCCCGGGCCCCCGATCCTGAGTTTGCTGTACTCTTGCTTCAAATACTGTACTTTGAAACAAACCGGTGCTGTCAGGACGGCAAGCGGCGAAGGCTTCCCGTGTAAACGCGGAGTCCTGTAAGTCGTTTTCAGGCCGATCCTAGAAAAGGCATCGATTTGCCTCTAAGGGGCTGAAGGGGTCTTTTCTTTATTTAATGCCCTGTGTGGGATTGTGACACGATCTGGCTTGATTTAAAAAATTGCTACTATTATTCATAATGATTTTAAATATAGCCACTTTTCTTTGACAATCTGAGGCTAGGATTTAGATTTCCCCGCCTTGATATATTAATTTTATTCGCGGAGGGGGTGCTAGGTGTACATAATGTGGCTGTAACATGCTTTTTTAAGACTCGTATTTGTTACAAAGGGATATATAAATAAATCTCAAGTTGCAAAACTTTGAACCGAAGATGCCGCCGGCCAACTTCAAGAAGGGGAGGGGGGGAGGCGCTACTTTTAAGATGCCTTTGCCAATCTTCCGACTGAATAATCCTTTTGAGACTGAAAGATACACGCATCTGCAGCTTTGTGTTCACGCACGTCGGAATGGGGATTTGCCACAACCCAAGCGAAGTCCCTGCTCTGATTTAGCTTTGTTGCTTCACTAAAACACAGACACACAGAAGATTAATTTACACTCTTCCTTCCCCATCCCCCAAATATCAACCCGTAGGACAAAAATCTCTTCCCTGTCCCTTTTAACAATGTTCCAGAACATATTCGATTTTACTTGAGTCATCTTGGAAAATGAACCAACAGCACTGAACCCTCTGTTTCAATTTATTTTTTATGCCCCTTGTTTCTCTTTGAAATATAATGTTCTCTTGGATTTTGAAGCAAGTTGTACTGGATTGTCTCTGCTGGGACTTGCAGAGTATGGAACTGAGGTTTCAAAAAGAAAAAAGGAGAAACTTCCAAATGGGACAGGGGTCTCCTCGCACCTCCCGACTGCATAACACTCCTGTTTACTTAATTACACCCCCCCTCCCGTCACCACTTTTTGTAGTTTGTGTTGATCTGTGGACTGAAGGCACTCCTTTAGCTTGCAATCCCACTGACCTGGGAGTAAGCGCCACTGAATTCAGTAGGACTTCCTTCCAAGTAGGTCAGGTAAGGATTTCAGTCTGAGCCGACGAAAGTTTGATGCCCTAATCAATCAATTATCCTTTAAGGTGCTCCAAGTATCCGTTTCTGCTTTTCTAATCGCAGTAATACCATATAGCAAAACAAATGTCTATACATTTAGCAAAAGAGGAAAGAAAGGACCCAAGCAGCATGTTGGATTATTCTCAATTTTAATTTCCTAACAGTTGGCCGGGTAATACTTTTGATTGATTCCCCCCCCCCCCCAATCCGCCGCTTTTGCTAATCCTGGGGCTAGGATTTGATTCCTCCCACCCCCACGCATACACACTTGAATCATCATCATTATTTTAATGACCCACACACAGGGTATTAATATTAGGTAATATTAGTACATATAAACGCTGCTTTTAATACCAAAGCAAGGTGGTGAATTATGCCATTCTAGGACTGTGGGAATCTATTGCAAGGACACAGACACGTGCTTTCGCTTGCATTCGTGAACAAGTCAGTTGTATATTAAAACGTGTGTGTAAATATCCTCACCACCGTCATTCCCAGCTTCGGACGCAATCCTGTACACCTCGCTCCGCATTGCACAAGCCAGCCCAGCGTGAAAAACAGAATGAGTAAAAATAGAATTCGGAACCGCGCTGCACTATAGAAAGTGAAGGGTTCGTTTTTGTTTGCTTTTGCTCTTAACACGCAAAGGCCCAGTTGCGACCCTGGGTTTAGGGATTGTTAAACTCAGTGGCGCTTACTTCCGAGTAATCAGATGCTCGTCTCTCACTGTGCCACCCTTTCCCCCTCAAACAACGACGAGCCACCCAAATAGCAAATAAAATTTGGCCGCGTAAACGCCGTACATGTGAAGAATGCTTTTTCTATGCTAGGAACTGTACCTCGGTGAGGCGTAAACTACAGTTCCCATAATTCTTTTTATGTGGGGCGGGGCGGTTTGGAATGTGATTTAAATGTGTTTTAAAACAGTGAGAAACAACGTCTTGGCAACCCAAACAGTAGGTGAATAAAAAATTAAAAAGCAACACTTTTAATAGCAGTCTTTGCTCTTGCCTGAGACTCTTGCTCTTGTGAACGTGACTGCGATTGTGTAACGATATTGACATGGTCCTTTGTGAAAGCTGCACCATCCATTTGGGCCCCTTCCTACCCCGCCCCGCCCCCCACCACTCCGAACCGTAAATTGTTAAAGGTGCTGGGAACTGTAGCTCTGTGAAAGGGAAACTACAGTTCCCATTATTCTTGGTGTGTGTGAACACGCTTTCAATGTATTCTTTTCTTCTTCTTCCAAAATTCACTCCATCTTTTACATTCTCTCTCTCTTTCTCTCTCTCTGCTACTTCGTCTCCCCACCCCTTCCTTCCCTTCCTCTCCAGGGTCAGACTGTCAGCACCAGGCGGTCTGCGAAGGGTGCCAGCGGCCCATCTCGGACCGCTTCCTGATGCGCGTCAACGAATCCTCTTGGCACGAAGAGTGTCTCCAGTGCGCCGTGTGTCAACAAGCGCTGACCACCAGCTGCTACTTTCGGGACCGCAAGCTTTATTGCAAGCAAGACTACCAACAGTAAGTGGGCGCAGCCACCCTCCAAATTAGCTCTCTCCTTTTGCACGTCGGAACAGTATGTGCACGACCATGCAAAGCAACGTGTTTTCCGATCCAAGCAAGCATTTTTTAAAAAATCAATCCCAATACAATCTTGTTTATGCTAGTACTTATTTGGGGCGGGGGTACCATTCTCAGTTCTGGGGTGCACCTAATTAAACCTGGCTTTGGAAAATAGTGTCAAGCAATCGAAGTTAAAGGTCATTCGCCCCACAATCTCCGCGCGCCTTCCACTTTTCTTTAGAACCTTTGTCGCACCATTGGGAGAAGTTCTATCCTTGCGTCAGAGGGATGTCTGTGGGTTTCTTTTGGGGGGGGGTGATACTAGGAACGCGAGGCGCCGGCTCTTGCTCTTTCCAGTGCAGGAGTTTCTTTCGATAACTTTCAGCTAAGTCTGTGGCCGATCAGAAAAGCGCGTGTGTATTGGCTTAGTTAGTGATCTGAATCACTAAGATAAGGATTAGGTTGCGGAGACATCCCTAGCATCGTTTCCCATTTGAGGTCCGAAATTGGTTTGACTTCGAAGTGAACCCTTTTTGTAATAAAGATGAATTTCCCTTCCCACGTTTTGTAACAACCTTCCTTTCTAACGGGTCCCACTATGCTCAGCTGAGACACACTCCCAAATTTACAACGTCGATCCATGAAAATACGTCCCCCCCCTTTAAAGATTTAGTCATTTTAACTGAGTCTTGGGTTGGAATAGATTCCACCTTCCCTTTCATTGAGCAATTAATAAATTTAAATTATTGCAACCGAATTTGATTTTGCGCCACACTTTTCTTGGGAGTAAATCCCCACTGACTCTAGAGCGGGTCATCCCCCTCGTTATTTCTTTATAACGACATTTGCAAAGGAAATAACCCCTAATTTTTCCACACAAACACCTATTTTGCTTTTTACTTCTTGATTTTAATTTTCCTGCGGCCTCTTTTGAAGATGCAGAAACGTTGAATGGCTACTTGTTTGTCTTGCAGAATGGAATAATATTTGTTTTCCGATTACCTACTTTATTAAAAAATAAAAAAATGCATATAAACAACACTCGCTTAAAAAAAATTCCAGTGGTGGGAAATTTTATACCAGCAATTAAAAACCAAATGATGTTTGCAAAGTCCCTTCCTTAAATAATATTACTGATTTGATGATTGGGGGTTGGGCTTCAGAATTTAAAGTTTGCGTGCATATATTCCATTACTGTAAGATTAGCTAAACTACTTTGGTGGGAACTCGGTGGAAGGAGATATTGTAAAATACTGAAAGTGGGAGAGAAAATCTAGCAAAACATTTCTAACAAATCCTGATTTTGTGGTTGGGAGGAATTTAAAGACTGGAAGTATTCTTTTTTCCCATTTGGAAGCGGGGAGGGGAGATAATTATATATAATGATTATCTGCTAAGAGATCGTGCAATATAGTATGATATCGAAATACTGAGGAAGTTTGTGCCTATGTGTTTGTATGTACGTATGTGTGTTTATATGTGTGTGTGTGTGCGCGCGCGCGCGCATAGGCGCCAACTCTAAGGGGCCTAGACCCCTTCGCCCCCCGAAAAATATTTAGGAGCGTCGGGCCCCCCAACATTTTATTCAAGTTGGTGCCACCGTATATGTTTCTGTGTCCGTATTGTATTTATATAGACATCGTGTCACAAATCAGATTAAGTGATATTTAGGCTGTCCTTTTGCATACTTACCTCAGAAGAAGCTCCAGCAGCACACGCTGCAATTTACTCCCGAGTAAACTGACTTGCCGGTTATTCCAGAGGGCTTTTCGGACAGGGAGTGGTTGGGGGCTGGAGATAATGGGGAAAAGGCGGCAAGCGTGTCTTTGGGTGTGGAGAAGTTTTCTTAGTTTCAAGATCGGAGAATAAGAGAAGAGATACTGAAAGACAGGGAGCGTCATTTTTCCTCACCGCCCCTTTTATAAGAGATGAACACACAATATACCCCTCCGAGGTAGATGAGAGAACAAAGGCATAGACGATTTACTCACTAAGATTTCTTAATAAAACAACCCCAATATTTTACTGAATTTTACTGATTTTACAATACTGCATTTATTTTCTTAGTTTTTTTAAAGCCCCATCATGTTACATAGGGCTGCAAATCCAAGTCTGCAATCCTATCCACGTTTACCTGAGAGTAAGTCCCATTTGAAACAGTCGCACTTACTTCTGAGTAAGTAGGAGTAGGCTCGCTCTCATTACCCGGGATTGTAAAGGGGTCTTAACTTGAAAATAAACTGGCCAAAGTCGGGTCCGCCTCACGGAAACCAACCGGGCTAATCCGGATTCAAAATGAGAACGCTTTGAAGCGCCAGCATCATTTGATTCGCCCAGTTGAGTTCTGCCGGGCCGGAGCCCGAAGGCGATCGTGGACTGCGAGTCGGAACAATTCGGATTAAATCCAGTTCAGACTTCATTCATTGAATTTTCAGAGAGATAGGCTTTGCAACCCTTCGGCTGAAGCAGAGGCGAGTCCTGCAGACTTCGGTTAAAATAAAATAAGAATCAAAACGGACTCGGAGCAAACTTTGAGCTTTGCAAACAGCGCGGTTGAAACCGGCGCGAGCTTTGCTCAAGACGGGTAGAAAGTGAAAGAGAAGCGGGTGGTTCAGCTGGGGGAACCAGCCCTGCTGCCTCGGAGCACCTCCGGGCAAGACAAGCCGCTACAAGGGCCGGCCCCGGCTTCATAGCTCCTTCCTCCCAGCTGCTGTCGTAGGCCCGGCTAACAGCGGCTGCCTCCCTGCTTTAGAGAGCGGCAGCAACGGCGGGTCTCCAGCGCCCAGCAATCCCCCAACACAGAGGCTCTAGTCCGCTCTCTCCTTCTCCCTTCTTTTTCTCCTCCAGAGTTGCCTCCAACTACGTCCTACTCAGAGAAGACTCATTGGAATGAATGGGGCTCAGCTAATCATGCCCATCAATTTCAATTGCTCTATTCTGAGTAGGGCTAAAAATTGGATGCGCGCGCACCGTTTTCTTCTTTTCACTGGCCTTTCGCTTTCATTCTCATTCAAGGTTTTCTATCCCCTCACTTTTTGTTTCCCCCGGGTGTGTGTGTGTGTGTGTGTGGGCAGATAGCCCTGTTCCCGGGAGGGGGGGCGTCCTGGGCTGCGTAGACACCATGCACTTAAAGCACACTCCCCCAACCCCAAGAATCATGGGAGCCATAGTTCACCCTTCACAGAGCTATAGTTTCCAGCACCCTTTAAAACTACAGTTCCCAGGATTATTGGAGGGGGCGTGAGTTTCATTGACAGGTCCAAACGGTGCAGCCCTTTCCACGTCTACTCGGAAGTGAGCCTCAATGGGGCTTATTACCAGACAGGTAAGTCGTGTTAGAACTGCAACCTTTTGAATGCATTTGGTCTGTCCACGAAAGCGCACGTGCCAAAATTAAACCAGGTAGTCGAAGGCACAACCAGTTGTTTTCTCATTATTTTCCATTTTTTTTGGAAAAGTAAAGTAAAATAAACACTCTCTTCAGAGAAAAGAGAGGCCAAACCATGAGTGCTACTCTCAACACGGGGGGTGATTGTGGTTATTAGCCCCGGAGAGAAGTCACCATTCTCCCCCGACGGCCAACTCCGCAGGTCACCCTCTCGGGCGGGTGTCTCTTCGAAGCAACCCAGGAGAAGCACTTCGAGGAAACGGCCTTCCCGTTTTGTTTTGTTTTTCCAGCACAGGCGAGTACTCTGGACGCTTAGCGTCTGCCTGATCGCGTCTCTCTCCAGCTAGGGCAAAGGGCCGGTCGCCTTCCTAGGGGGCTCTCTGGCACTGCCCGTGAGCGCGCAGACACGCTCGCCCGGGAATTTGGACTGCGAAAAGGCTTAGCAGCACAGTGACGAAGGAAAACGGATAATATCGAGAAGCAGGGACCTCAAGTAACCCAAGCCCGTAAGGCCTTGAGACGGGCTCGGAAAGAGAAGCCGTCTATTTTTCCTTTACGCACCCGCCAAAAATGGCTGGGCCGGAAAAGAAAATACCGGCGGACCCAGGGCGCAGCGGCTGGCGCTTCTCTTCTGGGCCCCACCAAGTTCTATGGGGAGCCTCAGACTCCCAGCCTCGTCCCTGTCTGCCAGGTCCGGGCTGCGAGTCTTGAGCGCCTCGTTCAAAATAAACGGCGTCCGTAGAGAGGAGCGCACGGTTCTCCCGCTTCTAGGCCTCGCGTGGAGAGCTGGCGGTGAAGGCCGCGACTCCTTTCTGCCTTAGGGGAATGAGGGGACGGGGAGGCTAAGATTTTGGAGCCGAGGATTGGGAAGTCGGTGGGGAAGAGTGGCAGCACCTCCGCGAAGGGCCACCTTTAGGGGTGAAGCCACAACCTGTTTGCTCCCCCTATTGAAATGGACTCTTGCTCTTAAGGTAGCCTTAAATGCATAGCGATACATTTAATGGATGCCCCTGAATATTGAGAATTGTAGTTTGAGGGTACTGGGAATTGTAACTGTGGTGTAACCGTTTATCTGTATGCACCTTAAAGAAAAGTGAGCAAAGAAGGTTCTCAGAAAACGAATATCACATTTAACTCAGCCAAATGGACTTACATTAGCCTGGGTCTGCACTTCATAAAACTAGAAGTAATTTCATCCATCTTTACATAAAGCACACACACACACACAATTGTATAACACAGGAGAGAATCGTAACACCTTTCCTGAAACTGCTGGGGGTTAGGGTTAGGGTTAGGGTTAGGGCTGTGAAATTAGAACTTGCTTTTTGAAAATTTATGGAAGGTGGTGATGGAAGCATGTCAAACTATTGCATTTTGGACTTGAGGGATAAGGTCCTAGTCCTCATGGCAGTAAGGGCAAAAATCTTCCGAATTGTCTGAAAAATATGGCTTTAAAGACTAGGATAGCTTCAGTCTTGGTGTTTCAGGCCTCACTCCCCAATCCCAGGGTCAAGGCAAAGTATCCCATATTGTAGTCTACTGGTTTTACAGGTGAGTAAATAAGAGAGAA